TATAATTATGATTTTAAGTGATGCAAATTATTGAGTTAGTGTATAAGTATGAGTGTATAACTCTAACAAAGAACAAAGTATCTTCTTCATAGATATTGTGAAAACTGTTAATAGGTTCGAATAGAAGAGAATGAGAAAGTTAGTCCAAGCAAAGTTATCTCTTGATATAATTTGATTTGATTTATCTCATTAAGGTCCATTTCATTTTATAAAGCAATTAAATAATCAGAGAAAGATTCTTCCTAGATTCAATGCAAACTTTACACACATTGATGGACGTAATAAAAACCAGTAAACGATTCAATACGAATTACTCAATTCTAAGAATGAGTATTTCCTTTCAGTCGAAGCTTATTGTATAGTTGTTGGAGGAAATCCATTACCGCGGTCATTCTTTGTAATTGAGGTCTTTTGTTAATGTTCAATACATTACGTTGCATTCAATGAGAATTCTTATCGAATAACAAGATAAGATAATAGGAATTTAAAGAAAATTGCAATTTTAAAAACTGAGCAATGATAAGGAATTGTTATCTTTTAACGAAAAGTTGTTAATTAAATTACAACGTGAGTATATTTTTGTTAGGGGTTGAACTTGTCGCAGTTTATATACGCACCACGAGCGATATATCTACAAAATCACGAGCGATTATATTCAAGTTAAGGATTTCAAATCAATAAAATTAAAGAAAGAAAAAACTTTTTAATAAGTAGATATCGCTAAGTTTAAAAACTTTATTTTTACATGTTATTTATTGCACATGAAGGCACTATATATAATTTAAAAATCGAAAATAAATTGAAGAATTTTTGATTTTTAAATTATATTTTGCTTTCATGTGCAATACCATGTTAAAAAAGGATAAAGTTTTTAAACGTTATAACTTTGTAATTTCATCTTCAATGATTTCTTAAGCAAAGCAAAGCAAAAGACGTTGAACCTTAATTTGCAAGTTGAAAAATTCGACGATGAGATATAGGACTCGGTAGCTCAATCGGTTGAGCAACAGCACCGAACGCTGACGATGCCGGTTAAAGTTTTAACTAAAACTCTACACTACCAGAATTATATTATTATTAACTCGAAAATGTACATATGCAATTTATTACAATAAATTTTAAACATGTGTATTATTTGGAAACTTTAATTTTTTCACACGTTAGTGACATCAGCAGTATATAACTAACAATAAATATTAGATTGAAAAAAAAATACGACGCGCGAGAGACATGTATCCATAGATTAAACATTTCCATGACGTCGTGTAAAACACAGTAGCTCGTCAGCTGGTTAAAACAACAGCACGGAATACTGTAGGTGCCGGTTCAAGTCCTGCCCGCTTCGTAAAATTTATTAAATCTATTGTATTGCGTTACATAGAAATAACTCGATTGTTATTCGTTTCCGCTATTCACATATTTATGACAGCGATCGTGACTGGTAAAATCCTTTAAATCGACTTTAACTCGAAACTTGAAGTTTCAATAGCAGTCCGCGTGAACTAAATGCATTTTTCATGTCGAAGTCCAACTTCGGAGTTGCGATGAACACTTGCCGTATTGATACACAGCGCCCGGGTGAATTTGGTTTTTTAAAGTTATGCAGATATTTCGTGAAATTGCTAACAGCAGAACAGCTTTCGTTTACGGTTTTATTCGTCCAGTTTTCATTTTAATATCCAATACGGTACAGTAAGGTAAGGAACAACCAATGGCGGATCCAGCCTTAGAGGTGGCCGCCAGGAGGTGGTCATATAGTCTTGGTCAGGCCACGCTTAATTTCATCTTGATAACAATACATGAAAAAGTAGAGAGAAGGTACCTAAAAGTGTTGTACATAAAAATATACATTCTTAATTGTACTCTTGAAGACCTGGACACATAATAACTTGGAAAAAAAAATCAATATGTTCAATTAGTGGTCCACCTAAGTCCTGGAACCAGCTCAGGTTCGAACAACATTATTTTAATTTAACGATTAAATCCAGCGCTAAATAAACACCAGAATCTGGCAAATAGTCTCTAGAATGTACAGGATCATTGGGTTGAGGAATTTAAAATAGAAACTACATTGATGGTTCATTATTTGAACCTAGCACGACCTTTCTAGCGATACAGAAATCACGTAGACTTTGTTTTCGTCTGATTTGATTGTCGACTTTTAGCTAGTCAAATCTATTCCAGATAAGCTCTTCTTGTTACTACTAGTTAGTATTATAATGTACATCGACCGTTAACTAAGAACAAAACAGTGAAGTATAGTTTACGTACGCCCATGTTGTGTTTGTTGAGATTATAATTGAGATCTTAAGTATCTTACCAGAAGTCTTATCAGAGAATATTTAATATGTTATTAATTTTTTGAATACTAAGTACTTTAATGTTAACAATTAAACTACTTAAGTTTTGTATTGCCTGTAACACACGAGTAGTACATATTTAATTAAATTCTTTTAACAGTTTAAACTCTACATTAATTAGTCCTCCTGAGACCACAACTGCTACAAACCATGCGAAACGTCGGGCCGTAGCTAAAATAAATTGTAAATAAGTCATATGTTGCGTTTTAAACAGTTAAGTGTTTTATTTAAATACCCAAAGAAGAGAGAGAATTAAAGCTAAATATATATATTTATTTTTTTCAAGACCTATAATTAAAATTTCTTCTTTCAATCACTTCTTACCAAGTTAAACAAATCCATAACACTTCAGGGTATCCAATATTTTCTATTTAATTCATAAAATCAATTATTCGTCGGGCTTGTAACGTAGACCACACCAAAACAAATACAAATATTAAATTACCTAATTTTGTGGAAGCTACAGTACATCAATGGCGGATTCAATTAATCGACAAGTATTATTTGTTCGGGGCCGTATATTTTCGGTTCTATTTGTGACGTATAGCTGCATGTATTTAACCAATGTTCAATTCACGATTTAATTTCATGTAACCATTCAATGAGCTGGTAATAAATACTTTTAATTATTGTAATTACAAAACTGTGAAACGTATATTTTTGTTCTTATATTAATAAGTGCAGCATAATAAATTATAACCGAGTTAAAGATGGACTCGCGGTTTAAATGAGAAAGGTCATAACCGTTCGAATATCAGCAAAACACAATACATAGTTTCGCTCGGTCAGGACAAGTCTAAATAAAAATACGACAACGAAATATTGTATGCTCGAAGTAGAAAAAATATAATCTTTCTTAAAATATATTTTAGTATAGATTATACTATATAACTATTCCCGTAGACATGTAAATAACAGTGTCACTCGTATTATTGTAAAAGAAACATTGTTATCGTATATATGTCTAACTTCCAATTCGTTCCACTCCACCTTTGTGTTTGTAGCACACTAAATTGAACAAAAGTGGTCGGCCATTGCAACGACAGTCAATACACAAAGTCAGCATCTTCGCCGTCTAATCTCATCTAATTCGCAGTCACGTTCTAGTTTCATACATTTCGGAGTGAAATTGTGTCGAAAAATATCCGACCCTATATCAACAATTCGAGGAAGAAAATTGTTTTTATGGATTCGATATGCTTCAATTTCAATCGGCACTGGATGTGTACCGTTTTCGGGGCGAGAGTACGGATTCAATTTGCCTCCGAACGAGGTCCTACGGGCCTTGAATAATGCCTCTTTATTGAAAGAGTGCCCACGTGACGTGTATGAGAATACACGCTAAGCTCGCGCTGATTAGTTATTAGGAATCGGGAGGGAACAGTGATTTATACGGCGTTTCCACCTGATAGTAATTAAGGAGTAATAACGGAGCCTCATTATTATTAATTGTTAGAGATACCCTCTACTGTGTACGAGAATTATTGCTTCGATTAGCAACACTCTTTGTTACTTACCTAGTAGCTAGATACATAATTCGTCGAGTTTGATACTGTCTATAGTTTACGCGAGTAGTACACATTTCAATATAACACTTAAACTGTTTAAAACGCAAATATTAGTTAAACTTATTTGAAAATGATTTTTAATTTGACATCCTCCATCTTTAGTCCGTGACCACGGCTGCTGCAAAGCATCCGAAACGTCGGGCCGAAGTTGAAAATCGTCGAGTTTATTCGTCTATACATGTTCGAAGGGCTCGTTGGTATGTAGCAGTTATGACTAATAATCGAAAAGTCTTAGGTTCAATCCCCACAGGGTCCAACATGTTAAAAAAAAAAAATTTTTGAAAACGGGTTGGTCTGGTTCTAAAATGGGTGGGAGGAATATTGATATTTCGGGTGACTAACCACCGTCGACAGAGCATCTACATATTTCACCTTCCATTATTCCTTCAAGTAAACCTCCATGCTTTCTCTATTATAAAAAATATTAAAATAAGAAATTTATTTTAAGTAAGTAAGAAGACTACTTTGAGTTATTTTATGTGTTACATACGAACAAAGACGCGTTATAATATGAAAGAGTTACCGAAACATTTCTCGTCTATAAAATAGAATTTTTGTAATTAAGCGCGACTCAGCTTAATTGCCTTATTAGGATTTTAACTACTTGGAATTGCTCTTACTTGACCGAGTCTTGAAACGTGCGAGCTTGAATATTCTATTCTGATCCTCTTTAGCCTCTAGCAATTATACAATTTACGTAATCCTTGCGGGTCTTCGGTCTACAATATTTTTAAAGACTAAATGTGTTCTAGTATGACCACGTATTACATACATAAAGCTTTTTTTTATTAACAAGTCAATTGTTTTTCGGGGAAAATATAATATAAATCCAACATAAAATTAATGCGGGTGCGAACGCGCGTCAACAACTCTCTAAGTTTTATTTAAATTAAATTAGTTTTTCTTATCGATTGTGGATATTTACTAGTTTGTGTTGTTATAGTGATGTTTTAGTGTTCTTTGCCTTATAATTCGCTAATGTTCCTCTCAAACACTCTAATATAAACACGAAATTACCTCAAGTCACAATTACAGTTCTAAGTCCTACCCTCAAGCAAGCAATTTGTGGCACATGGAAGATCTGAAGAAGTCTGTAAGGGACGTGTCTGAGTTGGTGTCCAATAAAATGGAGGAGTTCCAGCAGCGCCTGCAGGCTGCTCAAACCAGGTCCCCTACACTTGAGCAGACACCACTGGCCAAGGAGTTCGACGTGTTTCGCAGCTCAGTGCTCTTCTGTCTCGGAAGTCTCCAGGCTCAGATTGAAGTGCTCTCCAGAGCACAGGATGAACTGGAGATGCGTAGCAGACGCAAGTGTTTGTTGTTGCATGGGGTGAATGAGGCCAAAGACGAAAGTTCGAGCTCTATTGCGAAAATGATTTCAGTCTTGTTAAAGTGTCCTGATTTAAACGACAACGATTTTGGTCGCTGTCACAGAATGGGCCTACGACAGGATGGGAAGCCTAGGCCGATACTTATAAAACTCCGCGAATACAAGACTAAAGAAACAATATGGCTAGCTAAAAAGCACCTTAAAAGTACAGGTATAACTTTGTCGGAGTTCCTGACAAAAACTCGCCACAACATATTTATGGCGGCTAGAAGACGCTTCGGAGTTTCCAACAGCTGGACTCGCGATGGGACTATTTTTGTTATGACCCCTGATGGAGTTCGTCGCCGTATCACGGTGATGAAAGATTTGGAGACTATTCCCGAGTGTCAATCAGCTGGCCCCTCCGATTCTAAGGCCGATACGTCTGATAAGGATTCTGGCCCTTCTCAGCGACTAAGAAACCGTAGAAACCCCAACAAAGGACAGTTAGCCCCAATGGTGACGAACTAAGTTTTAGTGTTTAGTAGTATTTTAGTATCTTAACTTGTTGTACTTTCGGTGTTAAGATATATTTAGTAATGTGTGTGATAGGTGGTTGGCATATGCAGTGTTTTTATTCTTATTTACTGATAATATGATAAGGAAATCAGTTCATAATTAATGTTTACATTCATGTTTTCATCAGCTGACTAGTGACATATGACAGCTAGCTTTTTAGCTTAATCTCAATAACAGTTGCCTCAATAGTGACACTTATACGCGTATAATGCAAATATTTTTACCAAGGCAACACTACTGAAGTTGTCAATATGTCATTATGTCATAATAGAAGTAAAACGTCAACATGTGTCAGAGATTGTAAATAAACATCACACTACAAATTACATTTAATACTACATTGAGTGCTTTACATGCATAGTTTACATAATTATTATTATGGCTCACTTAGGAAATACTCCCTAGGTAATATTAATAGGGTTATAGTTTACAATGAAAGTTATTAAGATTAAGACTTGTTCTATGATTACTTTCTAAGTGTTTATATTGTTATCTACTCAATGCAACAAATTTCAAAATTTGTATATCTTTTCCTTTTTCAAATATTGTCACATAATCATCCTAATGAAGACAATTCTCCATTACAATGTAACCTGTAATTCTTTTATTCTGACTATAAGGGAATTGAATATGTAGTTTTGAGCAATGAGTCTGTTGTTTTTGTTTGTTTATAAAAGATAAGATATAATTTTTACAGCAAATAAAATTTTAACATAGTTTTATACTCTACTTATGTAAACATCTAATATGGAGTATAAGTGTGATGGGATTTTTCAGTTGTAAACATTAAGTTTTTTTACAGCTTTCAGCTAGCCACCTTTAATTACCTTAACTATATTATGTTAGTGTCATAGTATGCCTATCTTTACATTTTAGCGAATTAGTGCATTGAAGTATATATATATATATATTTTTTGGAACTTAGCATATCCGAATTTAAATTATTTTTTTGTTAGTTTAGTGTTAATTTAATATTAATAAATATTAGAGTGAAACCCAATCAAATGATTCAGGACAGTGATATCTCTGATGATTATCTTTCTGCAGCGTCATCTGATACTGATTCCTTTCTTAGTACACACTCTTTTAATCCTACCTTAGATGCTGCCCTCTCCTCTCTGTTTACGAACCTCCCTAAGAATTTCAATGCTATTCACATTAATGCTCAAAGTGTTCCAGCGCACTATACTGATCTTTTGGCAACCTTGGTTGTTCAAGATATTCATGCCATTTTAATATCAGAAACATGGCTCAATCCCAGTCTCACTTCCCATACCTTTTCTCTCCCAGGATATAACCTTATTCGAAATGATCGTCTTGGTAGCCGTGGGGGAGGTGTTGCTATTTACCTACAGTCCCATATCCCTTTCTCTATTATTAGTTTATCTCCTCAACCCCCTCCTCCTAATGCTGCAGAACATTTGCTAATTGAAGTCCGACTCTCCTCCACAAAAATTCTCTTAGGAGTATTTTATTCCCCGTCTCTGTCTGTAGATTTTTTTGCCAGTTTTGAAAACATCCTTGATAAATTCACTCCTCTGTTTAAAAATGTTATAATCATGGGTGATTTCAACACTTGCCTTTTAAGAAACGACCATAGATCAAAAAAGCTACTTAACATTATTCAGTCCTTCAACCTACATAATCTGCCACTGAGTGCTACGCACAAAGTTCCAGGTTGCCAATCGTCCCTACTTGACCTTATCTTTGTTTCCACTCCTAGCTTTGTTTCCTTGCATGGCCAGTTACCCGCAGATGCCTTTTCTCACCACGACCTTATTTATTTGTCTTGTAACCTTAAGCCACCTAAAGCTAAACCCACTATAGTACTTCGCCGCAATTTTAGTAAAATTAATATGGAATCTTTACTGAATGATGCAGCAGACGTGAATTGGAATGCGGTGTACGAGCCCTTCTCGATTGATGATAAAGTTGCCATATTAAATTCACTTATTATTAACCTGTTCGATAAGCATGCCCCATTAAAATCTATAAAAATAAAACATTTACCTGCACCATGGCTCTCTGAGGAAATAAAACTTTTGATAAATAAAAAGAATCGCGCCAAAGCAAAAATGAGAGCAGCAAAATCCGAGGCTGAGAGAGAAAGGTACAAAAGGATTCGAAATCAATGCAACACTCGCTGTCGAGATGCTCAGAGGCGCCATATTCACGCTGCTGTATCAAACGGAGATCCGGCCAAAATCTGGAAGTTTCTGAAATCTTTGGGTGTTGGCAAACCTATGCATAATGCTTTACCTACTGATTTCGATATTAACCACCTTAACGCCCATTTTACTTCTTCCTCTTCTTTAGATATAACTAATTTAGAACGTTCTCTTCTTCTTTTTAATTCTTCCTCCTCTCCGACCTTGCCCTTTTCTCTCACTGAATTTACTGATCGAGATGTGGAGAAGTGCATATCTTCCTTTTCCTCAAATGCAATTGGAAGTGACCAGATAGGTCGGGCTATGGTGTTACCCATCATCCCCTTTATCCTGCCCCTTATTACTCACATCTTTAATATATCAATTAAAACTTCTAGCTTCCCATCCGCCTGGAAACATGGTCTGATAGTCCCTATTCCTAAAAAATCTAATCCAATTAGTTTCTCTGATTTTAGGCCTATTTCTATCCTTCCTTTCTTTTCCAAAGTCCTTGAGCGTCTCGTCCACCTGCGACTAAGCGAGTATTTAAATACAAACTCTTTTCTTGATCCGCTGCAATCTGGTTTTCGTCCAGGTCACAGCACTACCACTGCTTTAATTAAGGTGCTTGATGATGTACGTCAAGGAATGGATGAGAAACAACTTTCAGTTCTTACTTTGTTGGATTTTAGCAATGCATTTAACTCTGTGAACTTTGAACTTCTTTTAGCTGCACTTCGATCGTGTAATATTCCTTTATCTATAATTGACTGGTTTTCTAGCTATCTCTATGGACGACGCCAACGTATTTCGACAAATGAATCCGTTTCACAATGGTGTGAAGTAACTGCCGGTGTTCCTCAGGGTGGCGTACTATCGCCTCTCCTTTTTTCAATTTTTTTGAAATCCCTTACTTCTAGGCTTTCTATTAACTACCATTGCTATGCGGATGACCTTCAAATTTATGCGCAGTCCTCCCTTGATAACCTACCGTCAACTATTTGGACAATTAATAGTGAATTGGCCAAGGTCGTTGATTGGAGCCATGATCTTGGTCTTACAATCAATCCCACCAAGAGCCAAGTCATTATTATCGGAAGTCCCTATTACATGTCCAGACTTGACTATGCTCTACTTCCTCCTATAACCATTGACGGCGTTACCTTGGGTGTGTATAACTCCGTAAAGAACCTGGGTGTCTTTATAGATCAAACGCTATCTTGGGATTGTCATGTAAAGGAGGTCGGTCGCAAATTGTATGCAACTTCTTGTGTTTTAAGGCGGTTAAGTAATTTTCTCCCTATCTCTACCAAAACTATTCTCGCCCAATCTCTTCTCCTTCCTTTTCTAGATTACGCTGACTCTTGCGCCTCGGACATGAATGAAGATCTACTTGACAAGCTCGACCGTTTACAAAATTTTTGCATCCGGTTTATTTTTGGCCTTCGTAAATATGATCATATCTCTACTTACCGTAAGCAGCTTGGTTGGCTTCCCATTCGGCTTAGACGTGATTCGCATACTCTACACCTTCTGTACTCTATCCTCTTTAATCCCAGTGCTCCTACATACCTCAAACGATCTTTTAAATTTTTGGGCCCTTACACCTATGGCCTGCGGTCTGCGGAAAGGTTTATACTAGAAATTCCCAGTCACTCTACGAACTTTGCTGGTCACTCTTTTTCCATCTCTGCTGCAAAACTTTGGAACTCTCTACCTGACTCCGTCCGATTAGCTCCTTCCTTGTTTTCCTTCAAAAGTCTTTTATATAAACATCTACTGTCCTTATCATGTTAATAAATTTCACTTTCCTTTTTCTATTTTTTTTTTTATATTTATTTTGCTGGGTTTTTATTATTTTTAATTTAATTTAAGTTTATTTTGTTTAGTTTAAGTAATTAGTAAGTTTCGCACTTCTTGCATACTGTATAGTTTTTAATTAATCGTTAAGTTTCTTTCTACTCGGGTTGCCTGGAAGAGATCGCTTATAGCGATAAGGCCGCCCGGTACACTCTATAGTTATAAATTGCATAGTATCTGTATGTTCAGTTTGGTGTATCAAAGTGTAAAATAAATAAATAAATAAATAATATAAATTGTTTAAAACACGAAATATATTAGTTATCTTATTAACAATTTATTTTAACTACGGCCCGGCGATTCTGTTTTGCTGCTTTAAATAAGTAAACTAATGTATTTCGCAGTTTTAAGTTGTTTATTGTGTTTTATTGAAATATAACACAAATAGTAATTTAACAGCTCATTATGTATATTTATATTTATATATGAGGATAGTATAATGATCTTCAACAAATATATATTTTGTAGCTCAGGGGTCAGCTCAAACAATTTTAAATGTTCGCCCAAAAACTGTTTAGAATCGAAATATTTATCTCGTAACGGAATTCTCAATTTTTCGAAGCAAATTCACTCATTACCTCGGAAGCGACAAGCGTGAACAGATGACGTTTACCGTTTCGTATTTGCCTTCGTTGATTTCATCTAATTGAATGACTACTGTACCCTTATAAAGGAACGCCTGCCAATTCCCAATTTATTCAACGTTCAAATTTTACACTGAGATTAATATCGGCGAGTAATCATTGAAGGCGTGTTCACATTGTACCGAGAGTGTATTTTACGTTCTTTTAATCATTACTTTTTAATATGCAATTGAATTGAACATATGATATATGTATAGGTAAGTTGTGAATAACAAACTTTTAAAAGATCTTAAGTGTAGACTGTCGTTTCACTATCGTAATATATACTGTAATAAATAAATTGTTCTATATTCAAATAATA